GTAATACTATTTCGGTGCGATGTCGCCCGCAACCCTCGGGAGGGCGGAACAAAGTATCGGAAGTGAAATAAAGAAAGCGGCGGAGCAATAATAAGACGGCGCCGGTTAAAAAATAAGAAGCCCCGCCGAAATTAATTACGCCCACGTCTAATCCCTTCGAGCGGCCTCTCTGTTTTAATTCTCGGCGGACAAAGGAGTCGGCGCTTTATACCCACGGAGTCCTCGCCCGTGTACACTATTATATGTATAATCAACTTAGAAAGCCTCGGTCAAAGAAACGCCGCGATTTCTATCTGCGATTCTTTCGCTTTAGAAATGTACAGTAGTGTCTCGTACAACAGCGGACGGAGAACAAGATACCGGATTGTTTAAGCAATTAAGAAATAATAATAGCGGAAGAAAAGGCGCAAGACGCTAAACGGAAAGCGAAATCTCCACAAGTTAGTAAAAAGATAGTTTAATTAATGATCCCTTCCAGTGACGCGCTACCCTTAGGCCCGGTTTCACTAAACGTCGTTTGACTTCAATCTTAGTTTTATTCACGTTTGTCCCTCTCTAAAGTAACAGGTAGAAAGAGACAAAGGACGAACGAAGCTACGCTTAAAGTTAAACGACTTTGGTGAAACCGGGTCTACCTGTCTCATCTTGGACAATAATATAGAAAAAGATAGAGACTCAACTAATCTCCGGTTAACAGTTAACTGGAGAATGAAAAACCGGGCCTTAGGCCCAGTATAGTGGCTTAATTTTCTAAAGAATCTATTAAAAGGATATCCGGTGGTTTTAGTACACCCTGTATATACACAATATATATATATGTATATATACAAATATATCAATATATATGCATATACATATATTTTTTTAAGCTTGCGAAAATGCAACGTGTCAAAATCTAACCTTGTAAATAGCTTACAGAATTTTGTATCAGTGATTGGCATCACTACTTAACAACTAGCTAAGCTGACTGGCCACTGTGTTACTGGGCCTTAAAGGGCTAACCGTCGACTGACGAATCCCTCCTTAACGTTTTCCATCGGCGTTTCCGAAAAGCCCGAGGCCCGGTTACTTATTGCGGCTGCGGCTGCATCCTCGGCTGCAGAGCGAGGCGGAGACGAGGGGGGGGGAGGTTTGGACGCGGCGTGCCCGAGTAAATCACGGTGGATTTAAGTGGATCCTACAAACTCCCTCGCGCCGGGGCCACCCCCGACGATGTATCGTCCTGGGGTAGGGTCGTTGCGGCGCCGCCGCCACCGCAGCGCGGATATAACCGAGTAAGAGATTCAGAGGCGAGCGAGAACGGCCGGCGAGGTAACATCCGTTGCGTCTTACGGCCGCGGCTTACAACGGAACTTCGTCGACTCGGAGAGAGAAAGAGAAAGAGGGAGAGAGAGAGAGAGAGAGAGAGAGTTCACGGACAGAGTGGCGGATTATTCGCCGAGGGCCTAGGGCCTGACACATAAAAGGGCCTTAGGATGGATTATATGGAGTTTATCGTGGCACGTGGGACCCACTTTAGATCGAGGACGGCACATGGGCTTCTAGGCGAGCAAGAAAAGAAAATTAAACCCGATATTGTAGAGCTTGTAGCTCGAGAAATAAAGATATCGACAATAAATTCATATTCTCTCGTCGTGCATTACGTGTATATCTACATCTCGATTCAAAACATTGATAGTCGAGGCCTAATATTTGAGACGAGCATTTCTTAAATGTTACTTACATGTTAAATAGTTTTATGTAATTCTTGAATTGTTATGTGAATAGAACATAAAGTCTCTTTAGGTTGCCAGTAATTTAAATAACAATGAAATAAGTTTAGTCGATCTTAACTGGCGCGTGTTTAATAAAATAAAATAAAACCATACCTTTCATTGTGCTCATTATTTGTGATCTTGTTTCATTTTACATAGTATTATTGTACACATTTTGATTGTCTATTAATTTAATTTGTATCATTAATTTAATTCGTATCTTCGATAAGCCTGCAATTCCGATTATCGGTTTGTTCCTTTTAGAATGTGTTTGAGAAGGACCTTTTTATTTTATTTTATTTTATTAAACGCGTGCCAGTTAAGGTCGACCAAACTTATTCATTGAAAATTTAGAACTTAACTTGGGCGAGAGAGCGGGAAGAGAAGGAAGACGTCAATGGAAAGCATTGTAAACTCTTTACCTTTGCCTAAGGAAATGTCTGAGAGATGTCTGTTATAAATGACAGAAATGTCGATGGCTCAAATAAACATCCTATATAAAATATCGCACATGACTCTTTTATATCGGCCATCTAACCATAACTATCTCCATATTTACATCATATTCCGCAGCAAATATTCGAACGTTATTCCCGCTTCGACGTAACGGTTCAGTACACTCGCTGTCGTCAGAACAAACAATATCGCGGAGGAAAGTTGTTGTACGACATCGGGAGAATTTCCGTGGCTTCCTCATGAAAGTCGGCGCGGTTGAAGGCGGCGCCTGCGATCGTCCCTTCGATTCATCCCTTTCTCTGGACCTTCAATCTCGTCCTTTTTCTCGTCACGGCGATGTGACGCGGCCTCTCCCGCCGTTACGGCGGTCCATTTCGCTTCCTTCGCTCGTCCCGGCTCTTTCATCGAATTATGAAAACCGCCATGGCTCGCCCGTGCTCGGAAATACCGTGACTTCCCGATGACATCGCGAGAAGGTCGGGGATGGTAAGCGCCAGAGGAACGGTCAGAAATTTTTCGCCTAAGGCGAGACGCCGAAATAGCGCCTCTAACTCATCAAGGTAATCGATTAAACCCTTTCGCGACCGAGTTATCTTTTTCTTCGTGAGTTTTATTCATTATTGCTTCCTCATAGAGGAAGCTTTGTTTTCGTGAAAAAATTTTTTTTCCAGTTTTCTTTGGCAATATGTTTAAAATGTTTTAAAACGCCTAAAAATCATATTTTTACAAAAAATGTCTGTGTGCGTGTGCGTGTGCGTGTGCGTTGCTTCCTCATCATTGAAGCGTGCAAATTGGAAATTTGCACATTTCTTCCTCATCATTAAAGTAGGCAAATTAGAAATTTGCACATTGCTTCCATTGTTACGGCTTCCTCATAGAGGAAACTTTAAGAGAGAAATCTAACTTTACTACGATGTTTCTTGAAAGTATTCAAATTATTCTTATTTCGCTCTTAAAGCTTCCTCTATGAGGAAGCCATAACAATGGAAGCAATGTGCAAATTTCTAATTAGAAAAAAAAGTAAAGTAAAGTGTGCAAATTAGAAATTTGCACATGGCTTCCTCATCCAAATAGTAATGTGTATATTTATAAAGTTTGCATTGAGGTAGGACGTTCTTAGCAGTATCTAATAGTTTTTGTAGAAATTCAATATATGTCTCTAAATTAGTCATAAAAAAATATTGTAGTTACCTGACCATGATGAAGAGAAAGAAAGACTTAGTACCTCATCAAAGGCAGTTGTAAATAATACATTGCAAGAGAGCGTATCTCCTGTATCTTCTAAAGATCATGATTTCAGGAAAAGATGCGTATCTAAGTTAAATTGTGACTCTCCAAATAAAAAAGTAAAACTTACGTGTGATAACAAACATGATTCTACTTCGTTACTTCTTTTCTATTCTACTACGTTAATTCTTCAAAAGGTAAGGCTCTATTTTGTATACAGACGAGAGAAAGGGAATATTAAATTTGCACTATTCCCTGATAAATCTTATCTTATAATTAATTAAATTTTTGCAGGGATCAATTCTAATTTATCTCGTGATAATCAGAAACCACATTGTAGTAACTATACCAATAATTTAATATACCAATAAACAATGAATTTGACAATATGAATACAAGTTCAGACGACGATATTGAAATAATTCATGCATCACTAGCACACGAAATAAAGCAAAAGGAGCACACTAAGAGTGATAATTAGATTTGCCTATCATATTTGTTGATAACATACTCAAGATATACTCGATCTAGTATATCTTGAGTATGTTATTAACAAATGTGATAGCCAACACTAATTATCCTCTTAGTGTGCTCCTTTTGCTTTATTTCGTGTGCTAGTGATGCATGAATTATTTCAATATCGTCGTCTGAACTTGTATTCATACATATCTTATTCGTGTGTCGCAAATGTGTCACATTGGAGGAAAAGGGCTAAGAGCCGTGACAGGGTGTTAGTGTCTAAATATTTTATTCTAAATTTATTTAGAAAAAACACCACTCGGTCAGGATTTGAACCTGGACCTTTTTCTCGCTAGGCGAGCGTCTCAACCAATTCGACCATCGAGGCACACGGCAATATTTATCGCAATAAACAGTCTAATGTTGTGGGGACGCGAAGCGTCTGTCTCTCTCTGCCAAGAGTGGGGGAAGCGAAGGGAAGGGAGCGAGCGAGATACTGGAGAGTCGTGGATCTCCAGACAGTGTAGCTCGCTAGGAAATAATAAAGTTCCTTACAGTTCTTGTCAATTAACAAGGAGTTGTTATTCCATCGCCCAAGACTAGTTAGTCACAGGAGTAGGCCTGTGCAGCAGTCTCCCGGAACTAAGTCCGGAATTACCTACAATGTTGATTCCCGAGTGCCACCTATCGTGACAGTATTCGAAACCGAAATCTGCGAGAGGGAGGTCCAGGTTCAAACCCTGGCCGAGGCGATATTTTTTTTGCAATAAATTTAGAATAAAATATTTCTTTCAGTGAATACTAAATCATTGAGTTTTGAAAATTTCGCAAGTGAGACTTGTGTCTCGACGGTCGCGAAAAAATTGGTAACTTGAGCTCTTAATCATTCGGCTAGTCGTCGAATAGACAAACTTAAATAGACACGTGTTAAAAAGTAAAAGCAATGCGATAGGGATTACTCATTTCTTACGTGATTAGAAAGTGTGAACTTTGTGTGAATTCCTGCATTCAATGTTTGGAGGGCGATGTCTCGAACAACCTAAGTGTAAACGGATTACGAGAACCCCAGCGTGCAAACATGAAGAGAAAGGGAGACTCACTCACATAAGCAAAGTTGCAGGACCGCGGCGAAGAGGGCTGCGAGTTTCCGCGCTGCCATGAGAGTCGACCAGTTTTCCGATGAATCTTTGGGACACCAGTCGGCGATCTGAAAGACAAAGAAAGACTTTTTCACAACCATGCAGCTTGCTAATAGCCAGTAAAGCTAACAAATGCGATACCCAATGTATCGAAATATTGTCCCTGAGACATAAACATTTATCAATAAGCTGAATAAATCGGAATATAATTATTCGTCACGTCAGGCTCATACCTGCGTGCTTTCAAGTAAATGCAAGACATTTTTCTTGCTCTACTCTTGTATTACCCGTCATTTGTATCCCGTTTTTCTATTTTATTCTTACCCTGCGAAAGAAAGAAAGAAAGAAAGAAAGAGATGGGAGAGTGAGAACATGTCAATTTTAATTATCGTTCATTTTAACTCTTTCGATACCCCTTACAGAGGTGAAAAGATTGGCGAGGGAGAAAAAGGGAGCAGCAGCGAGAGAGGGTGGCTCAGCGGAAGGAGGGGGTGAGAAGAAGCAAAAGATCGAAAGTAGCTTCGAAGCAAACTAACCGCAACGCCAGGGGTTCGCCGACTGTAATTAATGACCACCTCGTAGTTATCCTATCACCAATTAAGGGAGTTACGTTGGAGAGGAGTCCTCTCATTATTTCGACGCGGTTGGAGATCGCGGAAGCATCGTATACGCGCGCGTCCGCGCGCGATTCTGTCACGGACGGACGCATATGAACAATAGAGCGCGAAGACCGATTAAGCATCAGCAAGGAGTGTATGAGGAGAGCCTGCTGCATAGTTTCTCCTCGAGAACCAGGGTAAAGAATTCAAGAGGAAATTGAAGGGATATTTTGGAGAAAGAATCCTCGAGCAGGCAACGGAGAGATAGAAACGAGACGTAGGAAAATGCACGGAGAAAACATCTAAGAAACGTGCTAAATAAACAATAGTGGGTAACAACATGTTAAATTTAGAAACCGGAAATGGTTCGGAAAGAGAGAAATGCATCTATTTTATTAGTAATTCTCCTATGCGCGGCGCACAATGTGAACGACGCAGGCGGAATAATGGTAAGCTTTCAGGAAGTTACAGGTTGTACACAAAGTGAAGTGTATTTAATCTTTGTTGTACTGGAAGTCGCATTCGAAGCTGTTTTCTAAGATGGCTGTTGACTAATACTAACGGCACAATCCATATTTCCTTTTATCACATTACTGCCTCCTTTCAACTTTTCAAACACTATCTTGAAAGTAAACGCCATGATGAAAAACTTCAATATAACATTTCAAACTTTTCCAATCCCGTAATAAAGATCTTTTTAAAAACTTGCGTACCTATTCGAAAAGTATATACACAGTTGTACGTCAGAGATTAATAAATCATAGCGATTGCGAGAAGACGTTACTTAAAATAAAATTTAAATGTCTAATACTAAATCTGTACAATTAATATTAACTACAAAAGATTTGCACACATGTGTATATGACGTGCGTGTATCTGTGCGTAAAACAAGATTATCAAATTTAAAGATGTCTGAAAGACGTCTTCTATTTTTGTAAGTCTATTTTTCTTATAAAACTATCAGGAAGACGTCTTATGACCTGATTTGTGTCTTTGAGGCGTCTAATGTAATAATAAAATTCATGAGGCTCTCATGTGATAAACACAAATTCAAAGAAATCGGGACTAAAGAGCCGCGACAGAATGTTAGCGTCTGAATAATTGTTATTTTAAATTTATTGCGAAAAATATTACCTCGGCCGGGGTTTGAACCCGGACTAAACTTGAACTCGTCTAATTTTAATTAATTTAAACGATTATTCTTAGACGTACTGTAAATCAAAATTAACAATACGGAAACACGTTAAAGACAACTTTTAGAGGTCTGTTCGGAAAGTCTTGAAGACTCACTTAAGACGCTTTTTGCAAATCTTAACAACGTCTTAAGAAAGATACTGTGACGCGCGATGCTTGGTTTGACTGTAACAAAGGAACGAAAGTTCCAGAGTGTGTCTTTCGCGGAATCTTTGCGCCGGGCAACGCACTATTCTTTCCACGTCCTGCGGCAGTACGCTTTTTCCACGTCGACGGAACATCCGCCGACTCATTCCACGATGTCGATAAAACCGCGGATGAGGAATTTTTATTCCCTTGCATGTCACGCGATGAAAGAAAGTGTCGACGCGCGGCCATCGATCCCGCACGGGCCGCACCTGCTCCCAACGCAGATCAATCTGCAATGAGAGTTACAATTTCTACGATGCACTAATAGTGCAGCCGCAGCGACGCGCGTAAGGCCGGGCGAGTACGCGCGGCGAAGCGTCTGTCTAAATAACATGTTGATTTGCAAACAATAAAATTAAAATAAGAATCCGTAATATTTCCCTGCGTGGCTCGTTGTACTAACTTGTTAGAGAAGAAACGTAAAAATTTAAATAGCTTTTAGAATAAACCGCGAAAATCTCAAATACATGTATCTACGTGCGTATATGAAAATCAATGTAAAATAGAGCATTTTTTAAAAGAAACATTTGCACCGTAAATACTTTTCTCGTATTTTCAATCTATATTTTCTCGAGTATGAATATTGTGGGAGATGGTAAAAACTTTGTCTGAGATGCTTAATAAATATAAGCTTCAAAATAACAGATTTCGTGCGTATGCGTTTGTGTGTATCAGTCGCTTACGCCGTGACACACCAAGGTTGACGAGAGCGAGTCCAACTTTTAGGAGGCCGCCAAAATTCTATTGTGCATCCCATACAAGAGTAAAATTCGTTGTCCGCGTTGAGTTTGCATGAAAACGCGAACAAATAAGCGTCACAGCGCGCGACGTGTTGGCCGTCGCGGCGCGCGCTCGACGCTTCGGTTCATCCCCTAAACGAACATCTCTCCCTTTCTCCCCGGATGGCCAATACGAGCCGCCACGCGCGCATCCATTCCGACAACGTCATCCCACCGACGGCCGGCGATGCGACGCGACGCGACGCGGTGCCCATAAAGCATCAAAACGACGCTTTGTTGCGGCAGCTTTATGGCGTAACGGCCGATGCGCGGCGGCGAACGGCGGATCGATTCGCTATTTGTCAGCAGTCATCTCGGAAGACAATCCAACCCCGCGGCCCGCGATGCATCGAGGCGCGCCCCGGAGGAAGAGGGCTGTGCCTCCGAGAAAATTGAAAGATGGGAAGGTGGGAGAGCGGGCGGAAAGGGATGGTTATATGGGGTACAGTCGGAAAGGCGCGATTGATTTATCGCAAAAAAAGAGGCCGCGGTAAGTGGACTATTTTTCAATGAACCGGTCGAGAACGAGGGAGGGAGAGAAAGGAAGAGAGAGAGAGAGAGAGAGAGAACGAGAGAGCGAGCGAGCGAGAGAGAGAAGGGGGGAAGAGAGAAGGAGGGGCCCCGATGGAAAAATGGAATTTTTCCGTGGGAAAATGGAATTTTGAGCGCACCGAGAACCTCCGAGAGGAGTGCCAGCCGTCATACGTGCCTCAGTCACCCTCCGGTGATTTTGCGGGTGTTTCGATACTCCCGAGAGTGGGACGACGGCGGTTACGGGGGTGGCGGGATACGTGCGCCCGCGGGTGGGAAGGGGGGGGGGAGAGTGCGAGAGGGGGCGAAGGGGCTCGGAGAGGCGTGGGACGCACCGTAAGTTATGACTTTCGTCTCGCTCCCGCCATCGCTGCCGCACCGACGGCTCTATGAATGTATGCATGAGATACGAACTTTATGCTTTATGCATTGAACGCGCCGGTGATAAGAAGTCGCGCGCGCGTACGGCCGACGCGGCTCCACATTTCGCGCCGCGCCGGGGCGGGCGCGGCGAGGGAGCGACGAGAGAACGGCGGGTCCCTCGCGGTCCGCGGGCACCGGATGCTGCTCCGTTAATCGGAATTAATAAGGAGCGTCCTGAAATTTTTTTTTTCGATACCGCGCCCACCCTCGTCGATCTTGAAACCGCGAGGTAGCGCTCGCTCTCGATTATAGAGCGAATCCATCATCACGGTGGACCATCGATCTACCGACGTACGACCGTGCGAGCCGCGCTCCATCCGAGGCGATAAGCGCAAATCGTCTTGATATTGCGACATTAATTGTCGAACTTTTAAATTAAGAGCGATGGAAAAAAATGGGGGGGGGGATTTTTATTCGCAAAATCAGCCACGGAGACGGGGCTGCATAACGAAGTCTTGTACTTAACTTAATTTCGCGTGATTTGATTTTAATCGGATTTGAAGTTGGGAGTTTGTTGCCACCGAGGTACTTAATGCTGCAAATGAAGAAGGAGTCGGGAAAAATTCTAGCCGGACGGAAGATCCGCGCCGGTCCCGTGGTATCAGGTAATTGAAAGAAGGGGTGCCGCGGCACCAAGACAATTTATACATCCGCGCGATCGATCGCGCAATCATCCCCGGAGACCAATCCCTTTGACTGCGAGCCGATATAGCCGATTGCAAATAAAGGATCGAAGGCGGCGTTTAATAGAGACGCGAACGCAGCTCGCAGAGTACACAGCGGCCAATATGGAGACCCGTGTCTTATCATATATCTTCGTATGTACATTGCTCGAGCACCGTTCCGTTATCCAAAGTCACGGTTTCACCGTGATTGAGCAATCGTACAGCTTCCGATATCGTCGCCAGGATAATTTTGTAATATTAGAAAGTGGACCGGGGCGCCGGATTAAAATTGTCGGGGATGTCGCGGCGGTCGATTAATTTCCTATCGTTTAGGCCCAGTTTCACAGTGGCTAGTTAGCTCAACTAGTTGTCAAGTAGTGATGCCAAACACTGATACAAAATTCGGTAAGCTATTTGCAAGGTTATATACAGGGTGTACTAAAACCACCGAATATCCTTTTACTCACAGATTCTTTAGAAAATTTCAAGAGGAAAATTCTAATACAAAAATGCCGAGGCTATAATAGTTTCTAAATAATAAGCGATTATATTTTACAAATGACAGGCCTGAGAATTCGCGCGCTCAGGCACGGTGACATGACAAGTGATAAAAGTGTGCCTATGAATGTCGCCTCTTTTCATTCAATTAAAGTAAAAATTTGCAACATTTTGTAACTTCAAAGTGTTG